TTCGAGGGTGTAAATCTTTACGGGAGTAGAAAGCCTCATCTTTCTCCCGCGGAGCGGCTGGTAGTTTCGAACCGCTGACCTTAAGGTTCACAGCTCGATTCGTAACCACTACGCTACCAGAGCTCCTTGGAAGGTGTAGATAGGACTACATTTTTCCTTAGAAAACAAGTTTATGGATCTATGCCAACATTTCTCAAAACTGAGCCCAGCAGACTGGTAGGGGGAAAGATGATTCAATGAAAGGCATTTGAGTTACCTGGAACATTTTGTCATGTGAAATCACTGGAGGGGACCCTACCTCCTTGCTGAGACATTTCTATAGACGTTCGACACCTGTTCTGCCTTTGACTGCAAGCCAAAGACTTTGGCAAGTATCACACCTGTCCCATTCTGAAAGAAATTCTGCTCCCAGCCCCCAAATACAAAATCTAATCACTAGTACAAAAGGAAGGAAGGAGGTACTAAGCTTTATTAAAGATTATTCTACATAACAAAGAACATTCAGGAATAAATAATAAAAATGTACTGTAGCAGTCCTGATAGAGAAATCTTGTCCCCAATTTCCTCTTCAAATGATTTGTTTCCTAGATATGATCTAAGGGGGGATGAAAGTCTCTCTTATATGTTATAGAATATTGTAATACAAGAATTTGGTTTGTTTGTTTAACAACTTGTTGCTCTTTTCACTTTCAGATCTAAATTGAACCCAGCGTTTTACATTCCATAATATCTGAGGATTGTCCTACAATTTGGTTGTGAGCTCTGACTCATTGTAGAAGATTAAAATTTCATTAGCATGAGTATGCAATTTGTTCAAGCAGACTGATTTGTTTTAAGGTATTAGTGTTTAAAAATGGAGAATGCAGAAATATCTTAAGTGAAATGTTAAACCCACTTTGTTCTTTTAATGTAATAGAGTTTACTGAAAAAGACATTTACTGTTTTTTTTTAAAAAAAATGCAATACTGCCTTTCCTACTTTGACTACTTCGCTTTAAGGAAATGGATATTTCGAATGAATTATTTGTCCTCTACTCTTTGTAGATTTAGATTAAGCCCTCGTTTTGACTGGTCTATTGGCTGTACAGAGTCTTTCTGTATATTTCAGTTACCTAGGTACTTCCTTGAGATTTTGATAACAGTTGAAAAGAGACAGAAGTTTGCATTTGAAGTTAAATGAGTAGTTCTGTTTTTTCATATTTAAGTAGCATGTGGCTATTTTTGATAATTTTGATATCACGTCATTCTTTTCACAGTCTTGTGTTGCCACCATAAACATCAATGAAAAGACATTTCCAAATGCCAAATGCCGTTTTTAGAAACTTCAGTTTTAATAGCAATTTTGAATTTGTGAAGTTAGTATTTGCTGAAATTGAACTCTAGGTGGCACCAAACTATCTCAACATTGGAATTATGGATATAATTGCAACAGTTTGGGGTTGTTTTTTTTTTTGTTGTTGTTTTTTAACACTATATGCATAGGAGGAGTCCTGGTGTGTTGCTATGGGTTAATAAACCAGACTGAACTACAAGGTTGGTGGTTCAAGCTCACCATTGGCTCCTTGGAAGCCCTATACTGGGTCGCTATAGGTCGGAACCAACTCGACGGCACTTAACAACAACATATGCATAGGAAATTTCCCAAACATTATATTCTAATGAGGTGCATGTATGTAGTTTTACAGAACAAAAGGGTTCTCTTTAACATGTCATTTTCAAAAGTCATAATCTATAATTTGGAGTGATTTATAAACACATTACAAATTAAAATATAATTTCATAACAATTTGTATAAATTAAATCTTTCCCAGAATGTCCCTAAGCTAGAAAAATAGGAGGGAACCACAGCTTAATGAAAAGACAAGTTCAATTTCTGACTGGAAAATCTGCAGCTAAGAAACAAAAGAAAATGTTGAGCTACAGAGTATATTATACCCTTATTTTTATGTTAAGAATATATTTTATTGTGTGTACATTTTTCTTTGTATTTTGTTGGAGGTTTAAGCTTACTTTTTGTTTTTAAAGTTACCAGCTCTATTAAGTTGAAGATAGGAGCTGGGGTATTAGACTTCACTGGCCACATTTAAATCTTATGCAACTTTAGAAGAGATCCTTCATATAGTTTGTGAATTGGTCTCCAGAGAACTTTTCAGTGATGAGAAGTTACATAAAGGAAAATAAACCTTCAGATGGCTTCATAACACCAACAATCATCCCTAATTCCTCTGTTATAATTCCCTTTTCTAAGTGTGAAAAGTCTGAGGCCGGGAATATGTAATAATAAAACGTTAAATTGAAGAATAGGAATTACGAGTGCACAGAAATGTGATTTGTGTTTCTTAATCTGTGGAGTTTTTGTATACTTATTAGCTGGAATGCATCTGAAACCAAGGATTGGTTTTTAATATTTGTAAGTAACTAGCTTTGAAGAATTAGCTGAATGTCTGCATCTCAATCTAAACGTTCTAAAATATTTAGACCTGTGGACAATGATACTGAGGATGACACAGGGCTGGCAGTGTTTTGTACTGTTTTATATTGGGTCTTCATGAGTCAGAAGCAACTCGATGGTGCCTACCACAGCATATGAAAATGTTATGCTGAGTTTATAATGCATGTCCTTCCACATTTTTTTCCCTTAGAATATATTAATTCTGCACATGGTATAGGTCATTATAGGGAGAGTGCAGCCTAAACAGTTGTTTTCCTACTTAACCTCCTCTATCAAATAAGATTTGGCAAAAGAGTCCAAAAATTGCAACTTAGGCCCCAATTCATGGTTTGTTTTTTTTCCTTGCTAGGTAGGTAAAGCCCAATCTAGTATTGCTGCATCCTAGAAATTCTCTCACATTGTGGTGGTTAATCAGAGCTGGGACAAAATTTGTAGCTTCTGTGTGACACCACCTGAGAGTCATTTTACTAACTCAGATTTCTTGAAGACATTGCCATTTTATTGGTTATATTTCAAATCAAGAATGAAAGTGATCTTCAGGGAAAGTTTTTGTTTTTGCTGATGTTCTTTAATTTCCTATAATACAATGACATAAGCTCTGCTCAGAAAGAAACCCAAGAATGGTGATGGTTAACGCTGAGTGTATAATCATTATTACTAACGCATTTGATAGGGTTGCATTTTTCATGCAGTGTCCTACTTCCCGTCAGTATATTTTGCTAAGGTAGCTAAATAACCAAACTCATTAGGCATTTGTGTCAAACGATTTGCTAAAATTTGACTGTTGAATAGCTAGCTTACAAAAAAACATCTCTAGAGCCTGTAACTATGCATGATGGAAAGTATTTTATTAAGGAATAGCCATTGGTTTTCCTCACCACATCTGTGGCATCGTAACAACTCTTAATTGCTTATAATATGCCTTGTGATTGGTAATCTTTTGTGTAAATATTAATTTTAAGATGTTTAGTAACATCTCTAATAGGTACAAACTGTCAATATTGACTTCAGAGCAACTCTAAATAATAGGTAAAAGCATGTTTTCAAAAATATACCTAACTAGGTTTTATAATTGATGGTTGTATTGCATACAGATATAACAACATCCACCACCAATAACTGTGGCTTGCCAGTATTCTAGTAAAAGTGTGATTTACTAGTGTTGCCTGTCATAAAGATTAAATTATTTGTTTTGGTATGCGATGCTTACCTTTATCATGTTTAATAAGGATACATTTGATTTACGCTATTTGAGGTCACGTGAACTTTTTACACGCCACTTTGCATTGTGGGTTTTAAGTGTACCTACCGTTCAGTGACAGTTATATTCACCATGTACCACTGTTTATTCCAGAAGCTTTTCTTTACTCCCAGCAGCTCCCACTACCATGTGTTTTAGATTTACTTTTAACTTATCGTTCATTTTATTCATGCTCTTTACTTCCTATTCAGAAAATGAGAGAATCAGAATTAAGTATTTTTACATATTTGATAGACACTGGACTATCAGGTATATATGGCATGAACTGAGGAGTTTTTGCCTTCTTGTCAGCTGCAAGGTAATTAGGAGGCAGTGTGACAAAGAGGTCAAAAACATGGGCCCTGTACCTCAGCCCACTCTCTCTGCTCTCTATTGGCAGAGAGAACCAGCCTAAAGGAATAAGTGAGACCCTTGTGTAATACTCATAAAGCAGTGCAGTGCTTGCTGCTTTTCACTTGATGTATCCAGAACTGTGTAATATAGAATATGCACTTCTTTGATAGTCTATATTTGACATTTCTTTTACTCAGTCTTTGGTTCTCAGAAAGAACATGTAGAATATATATATATATATATGTCAATGCAATTCAAAGAATTGTTGCCAACTTCATTTCCTTTAACAAGATTAACTTCCTGGTGGACTATCTGAGTCGCTTGAAAGATACTTCGCAAAGTAACAACTGTATTTCTTAGAGAAACTATAGTTAATAATGTTGATAGCTCTGGTCATACTCATTCTTAAGCCTTTAATCAGTCCATTTAACATCCTCTTATAGATTCATGTCAGCTACTTAGTTCGGACTAATTTGGAGGTTTCCTTTTTTATCGTATTTGAAATGATGTAAAGAAATCAGATGCAAATTACTGCAATTTGAAAATAAAATGTGAAATAATTTCCAACAATATATACAATCTGTTCTTTTCAAATGATTTACAACCCTTTAAAAAGAACTGTTATTCATGGTGAATCTTTTCTGAAAATAAGGGTTTATTAAAATAGCTTAATTTTGACTTAAGAAAATCAGTATATGTTTTATGTTTGTGTGTACTGGTTTGAGTGGAGCCATTCAATCAGAATCCAAATAAGAGGTTGTGTTTTTGTGATTAAGTGAACTTCCCATAAACCTAAAGAAATTTTCTAATGTTAACTCTTGTCAAAAATGACTTCACATTGCTAACAGTGCATTCAAGACACCTTATACAGTGAAACTTGTAAGAGCCAGAACTCTACAGGACAGCCTTGTTTTTCTGGGTTCTGTAAGTTTTCCTTTGTTGGGGTGCAGTGCTTAACCATTTTTTTTATTCCTTTAGTGGAAAATATTTTGAGCTTTCTTTCTCAAACAGTTGTCTTACACAGGTTGTGGCTCTTGGGAGTTTTTATTGTATTATGCAAAGACCTAAAGTCCCATTGCTGATTTAACCCATTGGTTTGTCAGGTATAGGATGATGACTTGGGGTGGGTTTTTTTTATTCTTAGAAATAAGCAAACAAATTTCAGTTTTAAAAAGTTTCAATTTTAGATTCTTAGATGAACCAGTTAAAGTTAAATCTAACTCTTTATTACCCATCTATTTAACTTGTATGACAGACCAAAGGACAGTGGTCTCAAGGAAGAGAACTGCTGAACTATGAGTTGAACTGGCTGCTTGTTTTCATGGAAAAGAACAAACAACAAAGTAGTTATTAAAACTTGGACTTATAGCCAACATTTCCAAGTATAAAATTTGACTTGCTGATGATTAAATTTGTGCTTTTTAAAAAAACTAGCATCATTTACCATTAGCATGACAGCTTCATAATAGAACAGTTTTCCTGAATAGATCAGTGATGATACTTCTGAATGTGACTTGTTTCAATGTTTGAAAGATTGTCATAGGTTGGTCAACTGGTATTTTCCAAATGGACAATGCATTATGTCCCCAAATCCATTCAAAGTTCAAATAGACCAATGGGTTTTAATAGTATAAACAATGCTTTGAGTTGGTTTTAGATTCCACTTTGCAACTAACCTTTAAGGAATTGCCACTTGTCAAGACCAGGTGGTAGTATCAAACAAGGACAAACACAATTATGCAAAGACTCAAAATACTCCTCTTTTCAACTAATCTGTGAAGCCAGATTTTCTTTGTTTGCTTTAACTAAATTATGCTATGCACATGAAATAGATACGAAAGTCACTAAAAGGTTTGCAAAAGTGACAAAATGCCACT